TTCTGTTAAAGCCCCCCCACTGCACTGGGCTGCACCACCACTCCACCCCTGCTCTGTAGAGGTGAGGGCTGTGGATGAGGGGTTTGGGGCATTGGAGAGGCTCAGGACTAGGGCAGAGGAAGGGCAGCCTGCCCTGGCCATAGTGGAGGGGGCACTAGGACCCTGCGGCAGCAGGTGATGCCGGAAGCCGGCAGAGCGGAGTGGAGTCAGCATGAGCTGCAGGCTCCGGGGCAGTGAAGGGGCAGCAAGTGAGCCCGGGGGACACTCGGGGGAGATGCGTGGGGGTGGCAGGCAGGGCCGGGGGAGAGACCCGGCCCCAAACATTGTGTAGCAGCGAGCAGGGAATTTAGCTGCCACATAAAATAACTCGGGGGGGGGAGGGGCTTGACGGGCCGCAGGGAAGAGCTCCGCGGGCCGCATGTTTGAGATCTCTGGTATAGAAGTTCCCGGATGCAGAGCACTGCAGAAACCAGGGACAATTGTTGGATTTAGGTCTGACGTCGTTCATTAAGGTCTGGTTTTAAGCAGCATCCACTAGAATCATTTGACTAGTCAAAAAGAAGTGCAGCCAAATATGCTGCATAACTGAAACATTAGCTTCTTCTATTTAAATAAGCAATCAGAGCCTTATTTTAATCAATTTATGCTTTCACAGGAGTCTCAAACGTTCACTGCTCTGGATACGTGTGGATAGAGCCAGCTCCAGTCATTCAGATGGGTTTGAACATTTCTATAAATTGCCACTCTACGGTAAACTGTCAAATGGCAAAGTTATACATGATGCTAAATAATACTCATATAGAAGACAAATTATTAACAACAATAAACAAAACTACAGTGCAACTTCAGCTTCATGATTTCAGAAAACCATATTCCATTGTCCTATGTTATGCCAAGTGTCCCAGCAAAGCTGCAGATATGATAGTATGTGGAACACAATTTTTTGCAGGACGTAAGTAATTTGCTGTATGAATGATGGTTTTTCCACTAATTCTACTTCATCCCATTTAAGATGGTATAAACTGTTATTCCTTCCTAGACAGTGTTAGCCTGCAGCCCCAAAAATACTATTTTCGGATTTACAGTATTAAATCTTTTAATATTTTTAGATGCCGCACCCAAAAAAAAAATCACACAAAAGCAGTGCTGGTATTTTTTCCAGTTGAAAAGTGAAACTTCCATTTTTATTTTATTTATTTAACAATAAAAGGTTTGGGGTCTTATTAGTAATTAAACCTAGATTGTAGTTAACCAGCAAGTTATGTTGTAACTGGAGTCAGCTGATATGCATCATTAATAGCAACTTCAGTGCATGTTCTGTCATGTGGCTGTGTACAGGTACAGTAACTCCTCACTTAAGGTTGTCCCTGTTCATGTTGTTTTGTTGCTGAGCAATTAGGGAACATGCTCGTTTAAAGTTGTGCGATGCTCCCTTCTAAGTCGTTTGGCAGCTGCCTGCTTTGTCGGCTGCTTGCAGGAAGAGCAGCCCATTGCAGCTAGCTGGTGGGGACTTGGAACCAGGGTGGACCGGCAGCCCCCCACTCCCCTAAGTTCCCTGTGCTGCAGCCGCCCAGCAAGCTACCAATTGCCGGCAGTTCAGCTGTCCCTCCCCCAACTGCCATGTGCTGCTCCTGCCCTCTGCCTTGGAGTTGCTCCCAGAGACTCCTGCTTGTTGTGCAGGGAGAAAGGGGGGCTGTCAGGGTGTCCCCCTCCCCGCTGCTCCTGCACCCCGCTTACCCCTTCTCCATATAGAGTAGGGAGGGGGACACAGATGGAGAGAGACAGAGTGCTTGGGGCAGCAGCTGCTGTCTCAACTTCCTGATCCACTTAAAAAGACAATGTATTTAAGAGTGGGTCAGTTTACTTAAAGGGGCAGTGTGCATCTCTCTCGCACACACAAGGTGTGTGTCTGTCTCTGTCTGCTATGCTTCTCCCCTCCCTTGTGTTCGTGCTGCCTTGTGTGAGAGGCTACATTGTGTTAACCCTTGAGGGCTCAGCCGAGTACTAGTTCATCATTTAGCAGCAAGGCATTCCCTGGGAAATATCCCTCCCTCTTCCACCCTCTAACTTCACCACCTCAACCAAGCTTCACAATCATCATAGCTGTGAACAGTATTAAATTGTTTGTTTAAAACGTATGCTGTGTGTATATCTATATAATATATAGTTTTTGTCTGGTGAAAAAAAACTTCCTTGGAATCTAACCCCCCCATTTACATTAATTCTTATGGGGAAATTGGATTCGCTTAACATCGTTTCGCTTAAAGTCCCATTTTTCAGGAACATAACTACAACGTTAAGCCAGGAGTTACTGTATCTGGATGTGACACTGAAACGATCCTTCTCCTATCACTGTCATGTGTTTGCCAAAATGGCAAGGAGCTATTGAACTCCCTGAGTCAAGTAACAGAAGTGACTTTGTGCATCATTACAGGCTATAACACCACCTAATGCTTATACAGCAGTCTTCAGGGGTAGATTTCAAAGCGCTTTACTTACTAGGTGGTCACTATCATTATCCCCATTTTATGTATAGGAAAACTGAGGCACAGAGAGGCAAACTGATGTGCCATGGTTTACTTCCTTCTACGTAATCATTATCATGGATACCCTGACATGTGGAGTTGAGAGGAGAAAGATGGGGCAGCCAGAGTGTGGAAGGAGTTGGGAATCAGATGGTTTCCTTTCCAAATCTGTGCATTTTATGCAGACATGGCTGCAAAAGTTAACACTGTTCTGTGTAACATTAAATCCCTCCCCCCACTCCAGAGCCCCTCACTACAGCAGCCACATGAACACTTCTGCTGGCAGGAGAGCTGCCGTAAGATAGCAGTACAGCCAGATTTACCACCAGTGTGCTTGAGTGTGCTGGAAGTCACACATCTGGCCTGGGATTAATAGAGTTTGGGCAGTCTTTGCTTTCAGATCCTTGGCCACCGCCTATGAGCATTTGACAGGCTGTCCCCCGCCCCTTCATGCCTACCTTTCTCACTGTACCCATTTGTAAAATAATACTGATCTACCCCACAGAGGTGATAAATCTTTGTAACAAATAAATGCCAAGATGCCCATCCACGTGGTATCTGGCCACACACGGACATGGCTTAAATTGGCTCATTAACATTCTAAATTAGAGGAGCAAACACACTACATTTCCCTGGCGCCTGTAGCTTTAAGACTGAGCGAAGGATCTCTGGACTGTCAGCTAAGGCCCTGGATTTCATAGTTCAGTTGGACAGTTCGTCATTAGCTTGGGAGGTGTCTAGTAAGATTTTCTAATGTGGTCAGGTTCACGTTTTAAGTGTGTTTCTGGCAGAGTGAATTGCGGAGGTGCCAGGAATCTGCAGCCTGCAAGCTCCATCCTTGGGACAATGAGTTCCAGCATCCCAGCCCAGTGGAAGATTAATTTAATGAATACTAGTGGAGTACTTTAAAATCTCAGCTAAAACCCACTATGGAAAGCCACAGAATAACACAATCATCTGATTCTGGTATAAAAAAATTATGGGTAAAATGCAGCACGTCTTCGTAACTTCTGTTCAAAGATATAGACCCCTATGTTTAGGTTCTACAGGACATTAGTTTCAAATGTCTAAATGTTCAGTCATTGGATGAACTGCCCATTAACTACTGAACTGACATACATTTGCATATAATCTCTCTTTGTAGATCCACCGGACAGTCCAACCAATTTAACTTGTGTCATTTATGAACATTCAGACCACCTGACTTGTGCTTGGGATGCAGGGAAGTACACCTACATAAGTACTAATTACATTCTCTACCTGAAGAGGTAAGTCCTGCCAGGACAGCTTCTTGCTGTGTTTAGTTGAAAACCAAGAACAATTGAAGTAGAGGCTCTCTGCATGGCTTAGAATGTGGCTCTGAGCATTTGAAAGGAATAAGACCAAGAGGATCGGGGCGGGGAGGGAGGGGATAGCTCAGTGGTTTGTGAACCCCAGTTTGGGAACCACTGCCTTACACACTAATGAGGGGAGGGATAGCTCAGTGGTTTGAGCATTGGCCTGCTAAACTCAGGGTTGTAAATTCAATCCTTGAGGGGGCTATTTAGGAATCTGGGGCAAAAATCGGTCTGGGGATTGGTCCTGCTTTGAGCAGGGGGTTGTACTAGATGAAACTCCTGAGGTACCTTCCAACCCTGATATTCTATGCTCTCACTGATTCTCACTTGCTAGTGTGCTTTGTGGTAAAGGTGCTAATGGTATGGAAAGAAAACACCAGAACAAACTAGGTTAATTGGTGGCAATGGTTAAGACTGGGGAGCTCTTGTAACCTGAAGTACCAGTATGACTATGCGGTCTAAACATATGTGGTCGGAGTAACAGCAGCCACAAGACAAGCACGATTATACAAATGCTCTAGTTTTGATGACTGGAAAGACAGAGTGTCCTACTTACACTTTCTAGAACACCGCCTTACAGATCTCTTCAGGTGAACTCCCAAGTGTACATGCCTAGCTCTCATTTAACGCAAATGAGGTGGTATTTAGGATTTAAATCTTTTAAGACCTAGGTTTCCACACAGTGTTGTAATTATTTGTCTAATCAGTGCTATTTACAGGGCTGGCCCACAACATTCTGGCACCTAAGGCAGGGAGATCAAATGACGCCCCCACAGGGCCGGCTCCAGCATTTTTGCCACTCCAAGCGGCCGGGGGGGGGAAATGCCACGATCAACACTTCTACCACCGCTGCTTCATTCTTCGGCGGCACTTCGGCGGCAGGTCCTTCCCTCCAAGAGGGACTGAAGGACCCGCCGCCGAATTGCCGCCAAAGAGCCGGACGTGCCACTCCTTTCCATTGGCCACCCCAAGCACCTGCGCCCCCATGCCCCCTCGATTGGGCCCAAACTTTGAAAGGTCTCAATCCTGCCTTCTTCCTGTTCTACTCCTCTCATGGTACTGCTCTGTTACCTACTCCAATAAAGGAGAACTAACAACTTAAAATGCCTTGTTCAAAAATTTTAAGTAACACTTAACTTTCAAACGCCTGAACAGCAAATGTAACTTTTTTTGTCTGCATAGTAAACACTGGCATTTTTATCTGTTTGAATAATCAAAGTGGTGCTTTCCGTGCCTTCTTGGTTGCAAAGATTTGAACTGCTTCCTGAAGGTCCACAGTCTGGGCCAGCTCATGCTCTATTGAGATGGTTTCAAGGCCGACCAGCCTCTCCTGTGTCATTGTGGAGCGTAGATGTGTTTATTAACTTCAGCTTGGAGAAGCTGCGTTCTCCACTGGCAACTGTTACAGGAAATGTTAGAAGTATGCGCAGAGCAACAAAAGCATTTGGAAAGAGGGTGCTCATCTTATTTGTGCACATATATTTCAGAACAGCCTTTGGAGTTGATCCTAGGGTGACCAGATGAGAGGAACAAAATGTCGGGACACCAGAGCAGGGGGATCTGCCGGCGGAGCAAAAAAACGAATGCTGCCGTAGTTGATACTGCTGAAATGTATCTTGAAAGGGCTTTCAGTTTATCACCTAAATCACTTGCATCAATATCGCGCATGTCATTACTGTTGTAGGTCTTCTTCAGGTATAGTGAGGAGTTTTGGAATATCATACAACATCCCTAATATACTGCTGTGTTCCTTGAACTGCATGAAACGTTCTTCAACTGGCTGTATTGCACAATCTAGCACCTGGTTAAAGAATTCAACTTTGAATTGTTGTTTGGGGTCTCTTATGGGATTATCCTGTGCCTCATAATCAAAATATCTTCTTCTTCAGTGACTCTTGTATTCTTGAATGTGTGGGAAAATAGCTTCAGCGTGAAGTTCCTCTGCCAACTTCTGTGCTCTCTTCAGAACGTTTTGAAATCCCTCATCTGACCAGTAAGACTGTAGGTATGACTTTGCTTTGTCCTGTTGTTCCATTGCTCCAGATATAGCAAGGTCAACACCTTGGAGTTTCTTGCTTACAACATTTATTTCAAACAGTATGTCATGCCACAACACTCAGCCACACAGAAATTTGAAGTTATGTATGTTTCTGGTGATTCCATTTCCCTCTGCCACTGTTCTCCCACAAACAGTTCCTGTCATAGCATTATCCTCCATAATGGCAACTCTGGCATCATCTATCTTCCCAATTTGGTGTTTGATAGGCTTTATTGCCTCCACTCGACTTTCCCATCATGTGGCACTCAGCGGTTTCAATGTCAGAGAGGATGTTCCCAGATGTTGCTTCAAAATTTGCCATCGATGAGTTGATGCAGAGAAAAATACATAGATGCTTTGAATTACATTAAAAAATTCAGCAGCCTCACTAGAAGCTGATGCTGCATCACTGAACACCAAGTTCAATGGGACAAAAAAAGCTCGAGGGTTTAACTCTTGGATCTGTGTCTGCACTCCTCTGTTCTTTCCTCTCATGTTGGCACCATTATTGTAGCCCTGACCTCTCATGTCAGCTATCGCAATTCCTGTATCTTCCAGCTTTTTAAGAAGCACGTTTGTCAAACCAGCTCTCGTAGTATCATCAATGTCAATGAATTCTAGAAAATGCTCTGACAGTCACCATTGCAGGGACATTTTCACTAGGTTCTGTTGTTGTTACAAAATGCTCCATTAAAGTCATTTGTTCCGTATGGCTGATGTCAGGTGTGCAGTCCAGAATAACAGAATAATATCTTGCTGACTTCAGATCTGCCACAATCTTCTGTTTGACTTTTGTTGCCAGTAACTGTATGATCTCATTTTGAATTGTTTTTCCGAGGTAGTGGTGTGTGTACATTTCTTGCTCCTGGAGTACAGCATCAAACTCAGCCATCAGCTCCACAATTTTAAGGAAGTTTCCATTGTTTGGCACATACAGCTGATCTGAAGTGCCACACAGTGCTAGGTTTTGGGTAGCAAGCATTCTCACAATGGCAATGAGCCTTTTCAGAACATTTTGCCAGTAAAGAGACGCTGATGCAATCTTCTCTTGATGCTGATCATCTGTGGTGGCCTTTAACCTTAGTCTCATCTCAAGTTCTTTCCACCTATGGAATGCTCTCTGGTGATTTGCTGCCTTTTCATGGCATGCCAGATTTCTAGCCAGATTTTTCCAGTCCTTTGTTCCTGTAGAACCCAATGTGGCTGGAACATTAGACTGGAAGAGTTTGCAACAAAAACACTATGCAGCATTCTGGGTTTTTGAGTACGTAAGCCACGGCCTCTCCACTTTGTCACCATTGAGGATTTCACGCCAGTAATGTGTTGGATGGAAACTTCTATTTTCATTGTCTTTGGGGAACATGAAGTTTTTCACTTGCTGTGGTCCACGCAGTACAAGGAAGTCCCTCAGGCTACTGCTGAAGTGGGTCCACAGTCCTGGATCATCTAGACTTAAGGACTAAACTCAGCAGCAGCTGTTCTGTGCCTCACCACACTCTTTTCTGATCTACACTTTTCTCAGGTCTGTGCATGGTTACATCCATTTGAGATGGAGATATGGATACTGCAGTAGCTGCCAGGTCACCTGCACTCTGACTAACTGGAAGATCAGGCATCTCCTCACCACTCACATGCTCACTGGGGCTGGAAGGCTCACCGTGAACATTTGTGTCTATGTATCTCAGGAGAGCTCCTTCCTACTTAAATAGAAAAGCTTCCTTTGCTTTCTTTCTTTTTCTGAATGCTGCCCCAGAGGGGCGTTTTCTTCTTTCACTTATGACTGTTGTTCTGTGCCAGCTATAGTGGCTCTCAACACTCAATTGAAGGGGACAGATAAGCAGGCTGGTAGCAGGGCCTGAGTGAGGGAAGATATCAGCATCTTAAGGGCCTAACTGGCTCCTACTTCTTCAGCTGACTGCCTGTTCTCCTCAAGTGGGTTCAGGGAGGCAGCAGGAAACAGGAAGCTCCCTGAGAAGCTGGTGTTAATCAGTCCAGGCTCCTGGGGGTGCTAGAGAGGTACATAAGAGGCTCCTCCTCCTCTCTCTCCTTACAGCTCCTGCTGCTTTCTGTTATTCCCTCTCACCTTTTCTCCTGCCTGACTGTTATGTCTCTTGTGCCCTCCTTCCTCCAGCACAGCACTCCACCATCTCTGTGCATCTAAAGCAGAGAGAATACATATGCACCAGCAGCAGACACAATTTTCTACACTCTGTGTCCTAGCTTGTATCAGTGCCCGCACTATGTCATCCATTGTGGTAAAAAAAAAAAAACTCTCCCCTTTTTTTTGTTTGTTTGTTTGTTGTTGTTTTTTTTTAAATCACCCTCCTTCTTCCACCGCGCTGTGCACCCCAAGATCCCACTGTTGGCACCAGTGTGACAAAGTTCCTCCTCTATCTTGGTGGGTCCTGCGCTTATTGGCGGATTTTCTTGCCTCAGAGATTCACTACGTGGGTTGGGGAATAGCCCAGAGACCTTCCCCTCTGGAAGAACCCACAGTCCAGGTCAATTGGGAGGTTTGGGTGGAACCCAGGCCCGCCTTCTACTCCGGGTTCCAGCCGAGGACCCTGTGGACTGCAGCTGTCTAGAGTGCCTCCCGTAACAGCTGCATGACAGCTACAACTCCCTGGGCTACTTCCCCATGGCCTCCTCCAAACACCTTCCTTATTCTCACCACTGGACCTTCCTCCTGGTGTCTGATAACGCTTGTGCTCCTCAGTCCTCCAGCAGCACACCCTCTCACTCTCAGCTCCTTGCACCTCTTGCTCCCAGCTCCTCACACTCACACCACAAACTGAAGCTAGCTCCTTTTAAAACACAGGTGCCCTGATTAGTCTGCCTTAATTGATTCTAGCAGCTTCTTCTTAATTGGCTCCAGGTGTCCTAATTAGCCTGCCTGCCTTAACTGGTTCTAGCAGGTTCCTGATTACTCTAGTGCAGCTCCTGCTCTGGTCACTCAGGGAACAGAAAACTACTCATCCAGTGACCAGTATATTTGCCCTCTACCAGACTCCTGTACCCCACTGGTCTGGGTCTGTCACAATCCACAAAAAGTGAATACACCAGATTCTAATTTATTCAGAAAAAACAACACGGTCCGTACAACGATTCACAAAAAATATCCTGTGAATGAGAAATCACCATCTTTCTTTTTGTTTAGAATTCTGGACATGGATGGCAAAATGAGAAATAATGGGATTATGATGCAATGAAGTAGTAGGAAAAGCCGTTACTACATCAGCATCAATTTGGCAATGGTATATATTGCTAAGGAAAGAGGTGGCATCACTAGGCCGACAGTCATCCTATTAGGTCTGGATGACCAATTGTGGGTTGTTTGGGGATGCAGGAGACTGCCACAGTGTAGGAAGATTAATTTATTATCATACCACTAATCTTAAATGAGTTGCTGGGCTGCATTTGCTGCAGGAGATAAGACTGACAAAACTGTTGTAACAATGTGGTGGCCCTACCATCCCCATTCTCAGGGATTTTTGTTTTTAAATTATATTGGTTTAAACTGGCTTTTGTGCTGTTTCTTTCCTCGCTTCATTGAAGTCAATGACAAAATTCCCATTGACTTGAATGGGGCCCAGAATTTACCCTGGTGCTTTTTGCTTTTTTAGTTTACAGACAGGTGAGGAGAAAGCATTTCCTTCGAATGCAGCAATCAACATTTCATTGAGCAAATTACAAGGAGGCAAACTGTATTCTATTTGGGTCCAAGCCAAAAATGACCTAGGCACAGCACATTCGGATCATCTGCAAGTTAACCTTGAGGATTTAGGTAATATATGGTAACTCAGTAATGGCTTTGAAGGCAGGTTGTAATATGTATGAACTAAAAAAAACCCTAACCAAAGTGATAAAATCTACATCTAGATGGATGTGCAGTACTGAAGTTTTCTGAGAACATTGGTGACAAATTACACATTGAGTACTGTTTAACATTAGGGAAATAGCTGCTGATGTACATTTCGATACACTGTCTTATGGCCCTCTCTTATTTGTTCTTTTCAAATTGGTCTGTAGTATTTTCCATAAATATTCTTTCACTGGTCACTATGCTCTCTCCTTAGTTTTTTGTGATGTGCTGGATTTGACATTGAGGCTCACAGAGCCTGTGATTTGGTAGTACGTTTCAATTAGCAAGTCTCATGCTGCCCGTCTATTAGTTCCAACATTAAATTCCCAGCATACATTAATGAAAGTATAAAACTGATTAATGGGAAGTTATCTTTAACTGACAGTAAAATTGTCCAGCGATTGTTCTCTGATGGGGCTTTTTAACAGGTTAAACTGAAAAATCAAGATACATTTTTCTCAGGAGAGAACAGATGTCTTCTGTAGTAAAGTATATTAAAAAATCATTGTAGCAGAGCCTAACTGTGATAGACTGGCACCATTTTCTTCATGGGCTCAGAATAGATTCACCATTCTTTTGTCTCTCTTCTAGTGATACCAGCCACACCGGTTATCACCAATGTTGAAACTACAGACAGTTCAGCACCGAGAACCATACTCCACTGGAAAAAGCAAACATCCATGGAGAACGTTTATTGTGAAGAGAGATACAAAGCACTGGCAGACCAAACTTGGCATGTGAGGCAACCCTTTCTCAACTACATAACATGGGCCTGCTGCTGTTCCCATTGACTTCAATGGGAAAACTCCCACTACCTTCAGTGGGAGCAGGATTGGGCCCTGCGTGAAAGATTGCTGGGCTAGGTTATTGATACCAGTTCTCTGGTATCTGGTTTTTCATGCAGTCATTTGCTGTATTCAAGTAAGGAGAGGAGAACGTCTACAAAACAAGGATTTGCAAGCGATTGCATATACTCCCTACGGACATAATAGCACCATAACGACAAGGGTATTTGGGGGGTTGTTTTTAAAACATTTTAAAATGAACTAAATTCTGGTGAAAGGCTACTAATGCTGGAGACCGAAGTCTTCTGTTTATTCAGACAGGTACAGCAGTAGCAGGACAGTGCAAGCTTCTTTGCACTCTCCTATCTGTGTGCATCAAACCCAACCTGGAGACATCTCCTCTGAGGGTTACTCTAAGCTTTTCCACTGAAACGCCTACCAGGAGTCAATTAGTGACGTTGGTTTTGTGCGGTGGACTTGTCCACTCATACCTGGACTGAGACTACCTAGTCACTTCACATAGTAATCTCATGGCTGTTTGAGAGTCTAACAACATTAGGGCATTTGTAGGCTGGATTCAAACCGGTGATTTGGAAGGGAGAGGCTCCAACTGAGCTATTCAGTAACACCCACTCACTGCCGCATGCAGACTTGCATTGCTTTGTAACTCAAAATAATTTACCGCTGTACTTGCAGAATTCTTTAGATAAACCCTATATTACGCAAAAGAAAATTAACGCAATATTCAAGATATTTCCCAGTGCTACAGTTTAATTTATGTCACTTCCAAAGTGACAAACTGAGCTAGAAAAGCCACTTATACCAGAATAAGAGTGTCCACCAGGGGAGTTATACCACTATAACTATTGCGGATGAAATTCACACCATCAGACTGGTATAATGTCCCATGCAGAAAATCCCTAAGAGATGAGGCTGCTTTTGTAGGTTGATTTAACATCAGCTGCTTAGGACTCAATTGTGCCCCGCTCCTGATTGACTGTGCAAAAGAGCCTATGTGCAGAATTTCCTCCACCCCTCACACCCTGCCAGAGGGACAGGGCACAATCCCAATCCCTCCATTTGGGGGAGCACTGCTTCCTCCTGACACCCCCAGAGGTGCAAACCCGGCCAGTACAGATAAGGCGGGGGCAGGGCCGTGGCCACACACCCCTCCACATTGGCATGAGGAGCTGGCCACGAACACAGCCCTAGGCTAAGGCATGGTCAGGAGCGGCGCCAGGGTTTTTGCCGCCCTAGGCAGCAGCGCTCCTCCTCAGAGCATTCGGCGGCGGGGGTCCTTCCGCTCCGCGTCTTCGGGACGCTTCGGCGGCGGGTCCCAGAGCGAGTGAAGGACCCGCCGCTGAAGCGCCCTGAAGACGCGGAGTGGAAAAACCTCTGCCGCCGAATTGCCAACAAGGACGGCAAAATGCCGCCCCCCAAAATCTGCCGCCCTAGGCGACCGCCTAAGGTTGCCTAGTGGAAGCGCCGGCCCTGGGCACAGGGCAGTGCCTACACTGATCCTGCACTCCTAGGAGCTCTGGGGAGGCAGGTGCCTACTCCCTCAGGGCTAGGGCACTTGGGCAGGGATTGTTATAGCATCATTAATAGTTCCAGTACATGAAAGGATGTCTAATTTCATGAGACTAGTTAGTACAGCTTGGAAGGTTATATTGTTTGTCAATTTTAGATGAAAGAATGGGACATAAATGTGACAAAAGGGCCAAACAGAGAGTACAGCCTGGAGTCGAATACAGAGTATGAGTTTCAAGTGAGATGCCGATTAATTCTTGCCAAAAGCTATTGGAGTGGATGGAGTGCGCCCTTTATTTACACAACCCCAGAAGCAGGTGAGTTCACACCCAGGCTTACAAGGGGATTGCTCCATCTCCTGCTGTCATGCATCACTTTTTCTTATTTTTTAAAAACTTTGAATGAGATCACCCCCTTTTCTGGGGCAATTGTCAAAGGGAGTGGAATGGTGTGGGCTTCTAGTTACCCTGCTATTGGAACAGGTGGGATCAGTACACTGTCAGGTGTACCTTATGGGAGCAGCAGATTATATATATACACACACACACACACACACAAAAAAGAACTAGATAAATTCATGGAGGACAGGTCCATCAATTAGGACAGGATGGGCAGGGATGGTGTCCCTAGCCTCTGTTTGCCAGAAGCTAGGAATGGGCGATATGGCGACTTGGTGATTACCTGTTCTGTTCATTCCCTCTGGGGCACCTGGCAGTGGCCACTGTCAGAAGACAGGATACTGGGTTAGATGGACCTTTGGTCTTACCCAGTATGGCTGTTCTTATGTTCAGAGTCCCTGATCAGTGCATGCCAGCTGGAAGTCTAGCCATGCCTAACCCCTGCCGGCTCATCAAAGTCCCTTTGGGCCAGGGTGCAAGGAATGGGAATGTTAGCTGGGCCTACCTCTTAGTGCTCTTAATCACTGATGAGAAATCCTGCGTCTGCGCTATGGTGGTGATCAAGAAAGCTCCTTACATCTTCTTCCACCTTAATCCAACAAAGAGACCAGGATTTGTCCCTTACCATGTAAAACAGGAATGTAGCATTTGATTTTCTAATCAGACTAAATGTAAAAAATAGTCACTTAAGCCAGGCCCTGTGTGACAATCTTTTGCTATAAACACTTCCCATTCCTCCTGGTTGGCAGGCTATAGGGGAATAAAGGTCCACTGTAAAGATATTTGTGATCGCATGTGATACATCATTTCCCACTTGACAGCGTAAAGGGTACATTTTTTAAGAAGGGCTGAGGTGCGACCTCTCTTTTGACAGCTGCAGTTAGGTAGCTAGAGATGCAGGTACCCAGGTTTGCACCTGGGATTCAAACACACACGCAAAAATACAAATACAAGTGTATCTGCAAAGAGGAGATTGTTTGTAATGTTTGGGCTTTCACCTTTTGGTGATGTTTAACCAATCAGGATAGATGTCATCAGAGTAGTTAGTGCCATTTTTTAAATGACTCAGTCAATGGAGACACAAGCTGAGTGAGGTAATATCTTGTATTGGGCCAACTTCTGTTGGTGAAAGAGACAAGCTTTTGGACTACACAGAGCTCTTCTTCAGGTCATTTGTAACTCAAAAACTTGCCTCTTTCTCCAACAGAAGTTGATCCAATACAAGATATTACCTCATCCACTGTGTCTCTAATATCCTGGAGCCAACATGGCTACCACAGCACTACAAACAACATCAGTCAAAGGAGACAGCATATCTAATGGTTAAAGTAGGAGATTTGGAGTGAGGACATCACAATTGTGTTCCTGGCTTTGACAATGACTTAGGCAAGCATTTAAATCTCTCTGTGCCTCAGTGTACATACCTGCTAGATGGGTACAATACTCATCTACCTCATAGGGGCATTATGAGCCTTAACGTATATAAAGATCTTGACATGAAAGGCATTGATCTGAGCACAGAGTATCAGCGCTAGTTACTGCCTTGTGTTTTAAACTGAGCTAATAAAATAATAATTGTACCCATTCTGCCTCTGCTCTAATGCAGCTGGCACCAGCCCTGGCCAACGCACTGTGACACCTTTCCTTAGCTCACTGCCTTCCAGCAGTGGCACATGCAGGAACGATACAGCCGCACCATTCAAAGCTTGAGCCAAAGCCACTGCAGTCAAAGGGAACCTTTCCATTTACTTCATTAGGCTTTGGATCAGGCCCTGGATTAGCATCTCATTAGTGGATATAGGTTTTCAAAGATACCAGGAGTACTTCCATCCAGGGACGATATATGAACCATGGTAGAACTCACACACTTGTCATAAAGGCACTATGTTTCTTATCTAGTTGCCGTGTGTCTCATCTTTGAAAGTAGAGCAGAGGGCTATTTCTTGGTATATCAACAGCATAATTAATTTGATCCGATTCTTATGTACAGTTGGATTATTCAGTCATTCTATGCGCTCTGCTGTCATGCAGAGTGCCACTTGATTCTGAACCGAATTACAAGTTAACCCCCCAATCCTGCAAACACTTACACTCCAGTCACTTCCCACATGTGAGCAGCTGTAAAGACTGTTTGCAAAGTGTTTTCTAGAGGGAAAGCTCTAGGTATTATTGTGCCAGGTACTGTATGCCTGTTGGGCAGTTGTACCGCCACGTTGGCAATTATAAGGCCAGTCAAATTAATTTTTTCCCCAGCCTGACTGAATCATGGAAACTACATACTCAGGGCTCTAGTCTCCTATAGATACAGAAAAAGATTAACGTTAAATACCTCCATAAGCAAACGCCCCACAAATTGATGGGCAAATAGAGTTAACGGCACATCTAGGCAAGAAGTGGTCTCATGGTACTGTTTTGCTGGTGCCCTCTGCTGGCTAATTCTGGGTATGACATTGTCAGTAGCCAGAAAACTTGCCGGTTGATTTCTGCTTCCATCTAGAGGTGATTTATCATGGGCTGTTATAGGAGCAAACTTCTCAACTCTTCCTTGAACAGTCCTGATTCAAGCCCCAGACACTGATGTGATGGCTGCTCGGCCTCTACCCCTGTTGATTAGGGCATTCGAGATTCTGTTTTAATAATGCAGTCACAGGGTTTGTTTGTTTTTAAACAAGAACGTTACAGGATATCTTATGTGGCCAAAGTGGAGGTGGAGCTCAGGAGAAAGCAGAGGCTGTTGGAACATTACAGCCTCACAACCTTCTCTCTCAAAAGGGGAAATGGGATATTTTGTCTTCACCCACCCTGTCTCACCCTGTGGTTCCTCTCGCTCCAGAACTGCAACCTCCTCTTTGACGACTAACAGATTTATTTGGGCATAAGCTTTTGTGGGTAAAAAACCACTTCTTCAGATGCATGGAGTGAAAATTACAGATACAGGCATTATATACTGGCACATGAAGAGGAGGAAGTTACCTTACAAGTGGAGAACCAGTGTTGACAAGGCCAATTCAGTCAGGGTGGATGTGGTTCGCTCCCAATAATTGATGAGGTGGCAGCAATACCAAGAGAGGGAAAATGGCTTTTGTAGTGAGTCAGCCACTCCCAGTCCCTATTCAAGCCCAGATTAATGGTCTTAAGTTTGCAGATGAATTGTAGCTCTGCAGTTTCTCTTTGAAGTCTATTTTTGAAGTTTTTTTTGTTGAAGAATGGCTACTTTTAAATCTGTTATTGAATGTCCAGGGAAATTGAAGTGTTCTCCTACTGGCTTTTGTATATTACCATTCCCGATGTCTGATTTGTGTCCATTTATTCTTTTATGTGGAGACTCCGGTTTGGCCAATGTACATGGCAGAGGGACATTACTGGCACATGATGGCATATATAACATTAGTAGACGTGCAGGTGAACCAAACCCTGATGGTGTGGCTGATGTGGTTGGGTCCTATGATAGTGTCACTGGAGTAAATATGGGGACAGAGTAGGCAACGGGGTTTGTTACAGGGATTGGTTCCTGGGTTAGTGTTTCTGTGGTGTGGTGTGTAGTTGCTGGTGAGTATTTGCTTCAGCTTTGGGGCTGTCTGTAAGCGAGGACTGGCCTGTCTCCCCAGGTCTGTGAGAGTGAGGGATCGTTTTCCAGGATAGATTGTAGATCGTTGATGATGCGCTGGAGAGGTTTTAGCTGGGGGCTGTACATGATGGCCAGTGGTATTCTGTTATTTTCCTTGTTGGGCCTGTTCTGTAGTTGGTGACTTCTGGGTACCCGTCTTGCTCTGTCAATCTGTTTCCTCACTTCCCCAGGTGGGTATTGTAGTTTTATGCCCAAATAAATCTGTTAGTCTTTAAGGCAGGGCTTTGGAGCTGTGCTCCGGCTCCGCTCCAGCTCCAGGCAAAAACCTGCAGCTCCACTGCTCCGGAGCTGCTCCGCGCTCCAGCTCCGGGCTCCGCTCCAAAGCCCTGCTTTAAGGTGCCACCGGACTTCTCATTGTTTTGGTGGATACAGACTAACACGGCTACCCCTCTGAGTGACTCGGCCCTCCGTCTGGGTCACCAAACATGTTCCCACCTTCCAGACTATTAAAGTCCCTCTTGGCAAATTGGCTCAGGCAGTCTTCCTGCTCACTGTCCCACCGGTGCCACTTTGTCAGCGGCTGGTAGGGGGACCCGGGTCCACCCTCTACTCCAGGTTCTGGCTCAGGGGCCTTCTCAGAAGCAGCCAAGGTTTGACCTATCCCATACCTCATTGCTCTTTGCCCTGAGCCTTGCCTACCTCTCTGGCTCTCTCCCTTCTCTGGGCTTGCCACGCCACAGCCCTCTTCCCAGGGAGTAACTATGCTACTTGTCTCTAGCCCCAGACACACCTCCCTTCTCCCAGGGAGCAACTGGAGACTTCTTCCCTCCGGTCCCCCTTCTGCTGTATGCTCCCAGGCTTTATGGAAGTCCCACCTATTCCTGCCCAGCGTCTGTTCCCAGTCAATCCCCTGCTCCCTGACTCCTCCTCCAGGTGCAGTCCATGGAGTTAATTGGCCTGTCTGGCAATCTGAACACCTTCCAGTCCTGTGTGGGGTAGACACCCCATCACAGGCCCATTCAAAGAAAATGCATTTTAAGGTAGTCAAGTGCAAAATTACAATACACATCTAGGAACAAGGAATGCAAGCCACACCAACCGAATGGGGGGCTGTATCCTAGAAAGCAGTGACTCTGAGAAGGATTTAGGGGACAAAACAACTGAACATGAGCTCCCAGTGCGATAACATGGCAAAAAGGGCTAATGTGATCCCTGGATCTGTAATTATGAGTAAGAATAAGGAGGCAATTCTATCTCTGAATATGGCATTGGTGAGTCTGGTATTGGAATATTGTGTACAGTTCTGATGTCTACATTTTAACCAGGATGTTGAAAAATTGGAGAGGATACAGAAGAGAGCCACAGAAATGATGCAAGGTCTAGATAATCTCAAACTGTTTAGCTTATCAAAAAGAGTGAGAAGTGACTTGATTACAGCCTACAAGTACTTTGTGATGACAACATTCTTTAACAAGGAGAGAATACTTTAATTTAGTGGAGAAAGGCTAAACAAGAACCAAAAGGTGGGAAACTGAAGTCAGACAAATAAGAAATTAGGCACAGATTTTAAACAATGACGGTGATTAATCACTAGAACAAACTACCAATGGAAAGAATAGTACACCTCTACCTCGATATAACGCGACCCGATATAACATGAATTCGGCTATAACGCGGGGTGGGGAGGGGGCTGCACACTCCGGTGGATCAAAGCAAGTTCAATATAACGCGGTTTCACCTATAACGCGGTAAGATTTTTTGGCTCCCGAGCACAGCATTATATCGAGGTAGAGGTGTAATAATAAATAACTCTACCGAGTTGGGTTGTTTCCCTTTGTATAGTGGCAGGGCTATGTACCAGCAGGTCTCTGAGACCAGGCAGGCATCATCAACTCCTTCCCTGCTGTCTTAAGGAGCTAAACTAAAGGCAGCTCAGTTCTTAATTATTATTAGAAAGTTTATAGAAACATATCTGCCAGAGCCTGTGTCTCAGAATGCCCCCAAGTGGGTGCTTTGAAAATACTTACTGACGCCATTTCATTTGATTTTAATACTGAACTAAGTCACATACCAAATCATGGTCATTACCTTGTACATTTAAATATTAATACCAGAAATCACCGATTCAGTTACTGTACTTCTTTTGATTGCAGCACCTTCTAAAATCCTGGATGTGTGGAGGGTTATGGGTCCAGTATACACGAACGGTAGCCAAGAAGTGATGGTCTTGATAAAGGTAATGCCATTTTCTTTTTCAAGCTGCATAGGATTCTAAAATACCATTTATTATTATTATCTGTATTACTGTTGCATCTAGGAGCCCCAATCATAGGCCAGGACCCTGTTGCCCTAGGTGTTGTATGGACGCAGAACAAAAAAAACAGTCCCTGTCCTGAAAGAGCTTACAATCTAAATAGACAAAAGAGACACAGGGTGGGGTAGGGGCAGAATACATCAGCAGCAGGAACAGTGTGATGGCAGCAAACAGCATGTTAGTGCCACTACTTTTCTGGGGGGGGAGGATATCAGCGAAGTAGAAGGGAGAGGGGACACTGACAGACAGGGAGAGGGAGAAGAAGGTAAGAGGAGTGAAGCTGGGATGAAGAGACTATTGGTAGTCGTCTACACTGCCAGCTAGCTTGGGCTGTGGGGCTGTTTCATTGCAGTGTAGACCACAGGGTCCTAGAGCCCAGGCCCCACCCTGAGCCCAGACGTTGACACTGCAATGAAACAGCCCAAGTCAGCCAGCCCGGGGCCAGTTGTCGGGGCGGCAGGTTTGTATAATTTTTGGTGGTGCCCAGAACAGGTCCAAGTCTCCCCCCCCCAACCCCCACACACCTGCCTAAGGCTCTGGGAGGGAGTTTGGGTTCAGGAGGGGTGCGGGCTCTGGGAGGGAGTTTGGGTGCAGGCTCTGGGATGGGGCAGGGGTTTGGAATGTGGGAGGGGGTGAGGGGTGCAGGCTCTGGGAGGGAGCTTGGGGTGCTGGGGTGAGGGGCTCGTGGGGCTGGGGGCAGGAGAGTT